ATTTAAAATTAACCATATTTGAGCCACAAAGCAAGTCTCAATAAATACAAAGGATTGAAATTCCAAGTATGTTCTCTGAACACAGAGGTATTATGTTAAATATCAATTACAAATAAAAATAAAACTAGAAAAACCCACATGCTTTTCAAATTAAGCAATACATGATTATCCTAAGGGAAAAAAAGAAATCACAATGTACCTTAAAAACATTTTGAACTGAATGATATTGAAAATATGATAGCTCAAAATAGAGCGTATAGCTAAGCCTGTACTTAGAAATAACTTATGGCCTAAAATGCATATATTAGAAAAGAAGGCTGAAAAACAAATGATCTAAGTATTCTTTTTTGTGTGTGTGTGAGGAAGATCGGCCCTGAGCTAACATCTGCCAATCCTCTTTTTGCTGAGGAAGACTGGCCCTGGGCTAACATCCATGCCCATCTTCCTCCACTTTACATGGGACGCCACCACAGCATGGCTTGACAAGCAGTGTGTCGGTGCACGCCCGGGATCCAAACCGGGGAACCCTGGGCTGCCGCCACAGTGGAGCACGCGCACTTAACTGCTTGCGCCACCGGGCTGGCCCCCTGAGCTAAGTATTCTTCTTAAGAATTCAGAGAAGAATAGGGCCGGCCCTGTGGCTTGGTGGTTAAGTGCGCGCGCTGCGATGCTGGTGGCCCGGGTTCGGATCCCGGGTGCGCATCGAGGCACCGCTTCTCCGTTCATTCTGAGGCCGAGTCCCGCATACAGCAACTAGAAGGATGTGCAGCTACGACATACAACTATCCACTGGGGCTTTGGGGGGAAAAAATAAAATAAAATAAAATCTTTAAAGAATTCAGAAAAGAATAGCAATTAAACTCAAAGAGAGTAGAAAGAAATAATATAGCTAAGCAGGTATTAATGAAATAAAAAAACAAATGGACAATAGAGCAAATAATCTAAGTTAAAATGTGTCCTTTGAAAAAATAATAAAATAATAATATTATTAAAATTTTATTATTACAAAATAATAAAATTAATAAACCTCTAGCAGTACCGATTAAGAGGAGAAAAAAAGAGAGACTTCAATGTCAGGATAGAACATGAGTACACCACTAATGATCCTACAGACATGAAAAATAGTGTAAAAGAATGCTAGGAACAAGTTTGTGCCAATTAACTGAAATTTTAGATAAAATGAACAAATTCCTAGAAAAAAGACAGTTTACCAAAACCGACACAAGAATAGAAAACCTGAACAAATACTACATCTATTAAATTTATTCAATCTGTAATTACAAATCTTCACACAAAGAATTTCCATGCCCACATAGCTTTGTTGATGAATTCTTCCAAATTTTAAGGAAGATGTAACACCAATCTTACACTTTCCAGAGAACTGAAAAAGAGAAGCACACATTCATTTATGATAACAAAAAGCTGACAGGGGAAAAAAGAAAGAAAGAAAGAGAGAGAGAAGGAGGAAGGGAGGAAGGGAAGAAAGAAGGGAGGGAGGGAAGAAGGAAATAAAAATCCAATCTCTCTCACAAAGTAGATGCAAAAAACCTAAACAAAATATTAACAAATTGAATCCAGTGATATATAAAAAGGACAATACACCATGACCAGCAGTGCAAAGTTGATTTAACATACGAAAATCAATCAATGGACAATTGGATAGTCACAGGCAAAAGAATGAAGCTGGATCTTTACCTCACACCATATACAAAACTTAACTCAAAATGGACCAAAGATGCAAATGTAAGAGCTTAAACTATAAAACTTTTAGAAGAAAACATAGGTGTAAATCTTCATGACCTTGGATTTGGCAAAGGATTCTTGGATATGACATCAAAAGCATAGGCAGCAAAAGAAAAAATAGATAAATTAGACTTCATAAAAATTAAAAATCTTTGTGTTTCAGAGCCAGCCCTGATGGCCTAGTGGCTAAAGTTTCAGTGCTTACCACTCTGGCAGCCTGGGTTCACTTCCCAGTGATGGAACCATGCCACCTGTCTGTGAGTTGCCATGCTGTGGCAGCAGCTCACATAGAAAGAACTAGAACCAGTTACAACTAGGATATACAACCATGTACCGGGGCATGGGGAGGGAAAAAAAAAAAGAGGACGACTGGCCACAGATGTTAGCTCAGGGCGAATTTTTCCCTGCAAAAAAATTTTTTATAAAACGAAAAAAAATCAAGAATTAAAAAAAAAAATCTTGATGCTTCAAGGACACCATCAAAAATGAAAAGACAATCCACAGAATGGGAGAAAATATTTGCAAATCATATATGTGATAAGGAAATTGTATCTAGAATGTATAAAGAACTCTCACAACTCAATAATAAAAAAGATAAATAATCCAATTTAAAAATGGCAAGGAATTTGAATAGACATTTCTCCAAGGTAGATATGCAAATAGCCAATAAACACAAGAAAAGATGCTTGGCATCATTAATCATCAGAGAAATGCAAATCAAAACCACAATGAGACACCACTTCACACCCATTAGGATGGCTATAATAATAGTTTTCAAAAGACAGAAAAGCGTTGGTGAGGATGTGGAGAAATATGAACCCTCATACACTGCTGGTGGGAATGTATGTAAAATGGTGTAGCCACTTTGGAAAATAATTCGGCAGTTCCTCAAATAAACATAGAGTTACCATACAATGCAGCAATTCCACTCCTAGATATATACACAAGAGAAATCAAAGTATATGTCCATACAATAACTTGTATATGAATGTTTATAGCAGCATTATTCATAATTGCCAAAAAGTAGAAATGACCCAAATGTCCATGGACTATGAATGGATGTGGTATATCCATACAATGAAATATTGTTTGGCCATAAAAAGGAATGAAGTACTGATACATGTTACGACATGGACAAACCTTGAAAACGTTACGCTAAGTGAAAGAAGCCAGTTACAAAAGTCCACATATTATATGATTCCATTCGTATGAAAATCCAGAATAGGGAAATCTATGGAGATGGAAAGTAGATTACTCACTGCTTAGGGCTGGGGTGGTGGGAATGGGGGACATAGAGTGATAGCTAAAGGGTGTGGGGTTTCTTTTTGGGGAGGTGAAAATGTTCTAAAATTCATTATGGTGATGGTTGCACAATACCTGTGGATATACTAAAAACCATTGAATTGTACACTTAAAATGGATGAATTGTATGGTATGTGAATTATGTCTCAGTAAAGTTGTTTTAAAAAAGAAAAGAAGGGCCGGCCCCGTGGCTTAGCGGTTGGGTGCGTGCGCTCCGCTGCTGGTGGCCCAGGTTCGGATCCCAGGTGCGTACAGACGCGCCGTTTCTCTGGCCATGCTGAGGCCACGTCCCACATACAGCAACTAGAAGGCTGTGCAACTATGACATACAACTATCTACTGGGGCTTTGGGGGAAAAAA